AGGACTACTTTCCTTCCAGTAGGGAATCAACATACTGCTACAAGTTTTGTGACTGTTCTCTTCAGAGAATCTGTATTAATTCACTTTGAGAACATCAGGGGAAATGGTACAGCACTAAGAGTATGGAAGAGTTCTTAAAAAGTCAGCATAAAATTGGCTCATGTCCATCACTGACCAGTAAGTGATTATAAAAATACAGGGCCATAGCAGATTCTTACATGGGTAGCATGACATTTTAGATTTTAGCTGAAATAACCATTTGGTAAAAATTAGTTAATGAAGATTCCTGCTTAATCCAGACCTGGTTTTTGAGACTCCTGACAAGATTATCTTGAATGTGCAGAGACTTTTGGACAATTTTAAGCTGGATTCCTAAGAAAAAATTTTACTTTAAATTCCTACCTTTACAAGGACTTTTGAATACCCATCTTTTAGCTTTGCCTACGTGTTATCCATTGTACAAATGGTCAGATCTATAAATTTGCAATACAGATTTCGCTTTTTAAATGTCTGAGAACAAATGAAAAACTAAAAAAAGATCTTGCAGCAAAAAAGGCTGAAGCAGTACTAACGGGAGCCTTGCACCAAATTATTCTTTCAAGTAGAATGAAATACCACTAAGAAGGAAAGGAATACCTCGTATGTATGTCAGCAATTTTTTTTAAAACTAAAGTGCAACACTTAAATATGTTTGACTTGAATTTTTCTTACCATGAACTTAACCATAGACATGGGTATCAAAATCACAAGTACATACTTTAGAACCATTCAAAAAAATGAAATTATTATCCTGTGGAAAGTTATTATGTCTGTGGAAATGTTGAATTTTGTTTTCATTCCAAATAAGAACTTCACAAAATGTAAATTCCAATAATAAGTGAGTAAATTATGTGTGTTATATGGCACAATATGATGTAATAGTTCAAATATTCTAATATTTTTATATGTAAACCATTGAGGTGAAATACTACCTAGTATTGATTAGACCTTTTCTAAATCAAAGAATTTAGAGAGAGGGAGAGTCCTCCAATGTCATATAAAAGCATCAAACCTTAACTGTACCCAGCTGAACAGAGATACACATTGTGCAATCAAGCACTGACTAAACTTCCTCCCATTTAAAAAGAGAGGCTATTACTTCATTTGCTTTAGTGACAGTGATTACTGTGATCCCACATAGTGCCATAGTCTTATTTCAAATAAGGTGTAAGAGATTGCATTAGTAATAAATAGTTGTTCTCTCGACTGTTGTCAAGAATAGGTGAAGGTGAGTTCAAAACATTTTTAGTTTCTTCTGGAGTAGTAGCTATGAAGAACACTCAGGGAAAAAAATCTGTGAGAATATTCATTGTTTTGGAACTGCTGATTTTAAAATCTAACAGCCTATGTTCCTTTTCCATCCATGACTTACTGCTGTTGAGCTACTAAGCTTAGAACTTGACGGAAGTAAGGAAGGAGATTGTTCCACAGTGGCTGGTCATTTTAAAATCTGAGCAAGTCAGTTTTGTTGTGGTGATTGCAAAGAGAGAGAGCATACCGCCTCCGTAGTCAATTGTTCTAGAAACTGTAAGGCAGTTTTGAACCAGGAGCGTCCATGAACGCGGGCGGTACTGGTTTTCTTAGCAGGTCTGCCCCATGTCTCCTGAATGGGCAGAAAGGGGAAAACAGGGCTTACTCTACCATTGCCTACTTACCTGCCTGAGAGTAATGGTTTCGTACAGATTGCTGTTTTATATATTTCCATTCTCAGTCAGCTTTAGGCTCCTGGTTCTCTGCCCCAGAGAGGGCTGGCTTGAACAATGTAAGATGCTCTTCCAGTTTGTATTAGCTGGTTATGGTACCCTTGGTCTACTCACGTATAACGAGAGGGCAATACCGTCCTGTGCGTCTACTTTACTGATCTCAACAGTGCCCTCTGCTATGGGGTAGCATTGTAGAAACTCAACCCAAGCTGCCTGCACCCAAATCTCCAGATGTATTTGCAAGGCCAGCTGGTGAGCTTGTAGCTTGTGACAGCTGCTTTGCCATAGGAGGGACAAAATTAATTAAAACTGTTTCTGCAAGTGTATTTTTCACAAGGATGAATTTCGTGCCAGAATTTAGCATAAAGCATCCTTTATTAAAAAAAAAAAAAAATTGGAAAAACTTTAGTGATTAATTTCCTGATTAATTTGGTTATTCTTTGATTTAGTGCCAATTACAAATTCTAGCAATCATTAAATATTATATATTTATAACCTGATAACCATTGTGTGGTGGTGTGTTGAAAGTAAAGCCAAAAGTAGCTTCCTCTTCCAGGTCCACAGCCAGCAAAGTAACCGCTGCCAGCTGCTGTGGTCTCTGCTGGCAGTGTGCAGCTATCGACAAGTTTTATGTTGTAAGCTATCAGAAATATGAGCTTGTTTAGTCTAGCCCCTATAGGGAAAATAAGACAGATGGACTTTTCATACTGCTTAAATAAATCTCTTCCTTTGGACAGCCTTCCAGAGTAGGGTGGGTGAGTCAAATAGGTCAGAGATTTGCGTTCCTCTCACAGAACAGAAAGTGGACACCTTTTATAGAATTAATCTAATTTAAAAGTATATAGTTGATAACAGGTTTTGAGAAGTGGTTTGTTAAAATATTGGAAGTTGTGCCAGATACGTGATGTTGTTCTGTACCATTCTGACTATAGGTGTCCTGTTTAAAATTGATTGAAATACCAATATGTTGACCAAACCCCTATTTTTCGGTTCCTCAGCTCTCAGTAGTTACTACAGTGTTATATCATTAAAAATGCCATTTTAAAATGCAAGGTTTGGGGCATATATATTTGCAATTAAAATATTAATTGATGTATGCCAGATTATATAACTTCAGGTTTTCATCAGGACAGTGATCTACTGGACCGGCGGAAACATTGCTTCAGTGTCCAGTCGGAATCTGGAGAAGATCTTTACTTTTCTGTGGAATTAGAGTCGGACCTAACACTATGGGAAAAAGCTTTCCAAACAGCAACTTTTTTAGAAGTTGAACGGATACAGGTGAGAAAACTGCCTTGATGGATACCTTTTGGTACATTAACAAGTTAGGTCTGTATGAAGTAATGGTGCGATTTAAGACATTCTGTGACCCCCTGCAGCTCTCAAATTATTACTGTTTTATGTATGTAATTGCATAAAACCCCCTTGTGGTGGTCCTAAACAGCTTGCAATCAGATGTTCAGAAGAGATCACTGCAAATACAATATTTGAGTTATTAAGACTGAAAACAATCTGTATATCAGCAACAAAACCAGCTGTTTAGATGTTCTTACATACTGTCTTACATGCTGCTTTATTTATTGTTGGACAACATAAGAGAACCTTGCAGCAATTAAATTGTCCTTTTAATAATCAAGAATGAGTACACTGAGTGAGAGAATTTCCTGGATGCAAGCAAGGACAAAATTGTATTTCCGATACGTTATTCTTTTTTCACCCATTTCTTGTTTCTTGTGTATTTACTCGGTTGTCAGGTGACAGAGGGGAGATTGATGATATTCAAATACAGATTACTAGTGAATTTTTATAGAAAAATTACATATCAGAGTGTTTAAAGATAACTCTTTTTCTCACGTGACCAAAAAGTCATGGGTTTTTTAATTTAAAATAGGAGAAAGGAAATACCCACCACAATTATTATTCACCTAATCCTAGTTGTTGCATTGATATTCCAATCATAAAAAATACGTGTGGTTGGAACAGCTTTAGTGGATGTTGCCATGCGTTATTCTGTATACACACCTAAAAGTCATATTAGCAGTTAGTGGGTACAGGTATTGGCTGGTGCTCGCTTCCCTGCACTCATTTTCTGTGTCCCCCTGGGAGTGCAAGCACTGACAGTTTTTTATTTAGAGAAATTGTTAGTTAGTTATGTATTAGCCCTCTTCTGACTTATGAACCAACACGTGCAGCTGGAGTGAATTAATATATACTAATGATGCTCCATTTTGCAAAAACTACACTGCTGTCAGTGTTAATGCGTACTGCCTTCGTTGGAGGAGGCGTTGAAGGAGGTTCAACTTTTGTCTCTTAAGTTCATGCTACTTTTTACGGGAGCTATTCTTACCTTTTGAAATCTGTGCTGAAAAATGTAAGTGTAGTTTTTTTCTGTATAAAAATTGCAACAATATATATCTTCTGCTCCTAAATATTTGAGATGCTTTGTCTCTTTCATACAACTGACTACAACATTGTAGAGGCACGACTGTGCTACCGGTAAAAGAATATATTGCAATTTTCTTGAATAACTTCTAGTCCAGAAGCCCCTTCTTATTTGCTCTTCTTTAATCCTGATTCATACTGTAGCATTTCTGATTTAGATTTTTCTCTTGGGTTTTAGAATGACGTTTGTTCAAAATTGCTCCCATGTTTCCCAAAAAGAAGTTCCTTAATCACCTTAACCTCAGGTTAATCTTAACCTTTCCACCTTTGTTTCACTCTGCTGATGTTCAAAGTAGCAATTATGAACTCAAAGTAATGATTTCCTGGTTGATTATAGAAAATTTGTTGAAGGTGGACAAAGAGGCTTCTCATGATAGGTTATTATTGTGGAACTCAGGATTTCACCTTTTTTTCTTTATTTTCTTCCCTCTCTTTCTGTATCTCAGTTTGGAAAAAAACTAGAATCTGAATTTTTAATATAACTGGTCTTGGCCTCCTCATTTTTCTTTCAGCAATCCCTTACTGCTTTCATCCACCAGTTTGCAGATTCAGATAAAATCTGGTTTGACTAAGTAGTGGTATAATTTGTCTCCGACAAGTTCTTTCATTGCTCTGTGAGAAAAACAGATGACAGGTTCAAAATCGAGGTATCAACTGTACATTTTTACTAAAATTGTATTTTATGTAATCATATTCATATGAATACTCAATAATCACTGTGTGCAGGTTTGTCTTACTATAAAATCACATAATTTTGGAAATATTAACTGCAGTTTAACACGTCCATTTAAAATTATTCAAATAGGTTCTCTACTATTCCATAATCATACAAATAATCAAATAGTAACAGAGTTACTCAACGAGTATAAATTGGCATTAACCTCCATGAGAGGTTAATGCGAGGCCTATTATGTAATTCTAAAGAATACATCACAAATTAAAATATTTTTTAAATGCCTCATTATAAATATATAGTAAATTCTGTTTAAGCCTAATTCATAGCTTCTGCTAGAGATATAGCTAAAACAAAAATTAGACAGGGTTGGGTTTTTTTAGACATAAAATATATTAGAGAAACTCAAGCTGATAGTAGTTTAGCAATAATATGTTGTCTGTTGTTGTAGTGGTGCTATTGTGGAGTGTGGCAGTCACTCTTTATTTGGTTGTCTTTATAGTAAGAGATGCTAATCAATTTTCATAATTACCTATTAAAAGAAAAAAAATTTATTTGAAATGGAGATCCTTGTTCCCTACTATCTCACAGCATTGTTATATGAAGAATCTGAGACTACTGAAGCTTGCATAATGATGTGCAATTATATATGATTGTCAGGTTCCCTTTGTGTTCCTGCTACTCTATCATAAAATTTTGACCACTTCCATCATAATTTTTTTCTTGCTGTCCTTCTTGTTTGTATTGTAGTTGTTTGTTCCCGAATATAAGGATTACTGCGTAAGCTGCTTTGTGTCACAGTACTTTAACGTTTGTCTCCACTGAAGCTGAATCTGAGTTTGAAAGTCTGAATTAAATCTGAGACTTGATAGTGTTGTTTCCCTTAGATTCAGAGACAGCTCACACTAGGTTTACAACGTTATCATTCTTTCCATAATTTAAACTGAGTGTATTGAAGAAGTAAAATCTAAGGAACAACTTTGGGTGGGCTCCTTCAGCACCTGCCTGACCCACTGCATTATTCATAAATCACAGAATCACAGAGCGGTTTGGGCTGGAAGGGACCTTAAAGACCATCCAGTGCCCCCCCCCCCCCTGCCGTGGGCAGGGACCCCTTCCACCAGACCAGGTTGCTCCCAGCCCCATCCAGCCTGGCCTTGAGCACTGCCAGGGAGGGGGCAGCCACAGCTGCTCTGGGCAGCCTGTGCCAGGGCCTCACCGCCCTCATATATCATCTCAATCTCCCCTCTTTCAGTTTGAAAACCCAATTTAAGGTTCTATATTCTGTGAGAGAACAAGAAATGGGTGCTGAAATATCTTCTGCTTCTTTTGGGATGGGCATGCTTCAGCTCTATGTGAGAAATCAGCAACCAAAGCCAAACATCCACAGTGTATATTATTAATAGTCACTTTTAATGATGTGGTTTTTAAATGTATAGGAAATTTTAAATTATCAAGTCTCCTGGAGAGAATTTCTGTATTTTTATTTCCTCCAAATGTCTGAATTATAAAACAAATTAAAGAAAATAAAGATGAGAAAAATCTTAA